AGTCCCCTACATGGTTCCCACATAAACCCAAGATAACTTTTGGTAGTTTTCGGTAAAACAAATTCGACATTTACACTAGATTTCTACAGAATATCTTATCATCAGTCTACTTAAATATTAGATTACCTTACTTGTTTTAAATTCATTTGTGGCGTGTATTTATTTGCTGGAAAATTGTTATCAAATTGAATAAACGGCAAAATTGTGCTGAGATTTTGTTCTCCCATGTAAACGCCATGTAGTAATCCTGTTAAATATTTTAAAATTATGCCGCGAGACCTTATCGGCAACACATCGTGTTTTTATACCTGATAAAATACTCCTGCTCGTTTTTTAACACTACATAACAAAGTGTTACGTTTATATTCAGTGTGTCACCTATATTGTAGTAAAACTATTTTTTTAGCCAAAAATGTATATACTTGTCGCGCAATCGTTAACGCCTCGTGTTTTGTTTTGTTTTGTTTTGTTTTGTTTGTTTTATTTTTGTTGTTGTTTTGTTGTTTTTTTGTTGTTTTGTTTTTGTTTGTTTTGTTTTGTTTGTTTTATTTTTGTTGTTGTTTTTTTTTGTTTGTTTGTTGTTTTTTGTTTGTTTGTTTGTTTGTTTTTTTGCCCCCTGACGAAATGGCCGCTGTATCGTCGAAGCAGTTTATTATCACAACCTATGACAAAGGGCTGGTTACACTATACAACTTTTTTCTAAGAATTTCTAGAAAATTTCCGTTCCCCTCAGAGCGGTTTTGTATGAGTGGGAAACAATACGGTAAGATTTGCTTTTGGAGCAAACATTATGTTAAATATGTTTAAATAAAAAATAAATACAATACGATACACAAAGCGTAGTCACGTACAGCTATAGTACAAATGACACGAGTGAAAAACGTCTGCACATTCAAAATCCGTATGCAAAATAGTCGCATATTTATTTTCTCACTAAAACGTTTCTAAATTCTTGAAAAAAAGTGCTGAAAGTGTCGGTAAGATTACGAATTCGCTGTATTTTTCCCCTCTCACGAGTTTTAAGCGCATCCTCGGAAAGACCAATGGCTTTTTTTTTTTTTTGCTACTGAAGAAAATACTTTGAAGAACGTGTTACTAAAACTATTTAACACTCTATCATTACGCTGAAAATAAATTTAAATTTCCCTAGCATTTCCAGGTCAATGAAGAGTCAATGGAAGCCATGAGAGACCAGTAGTGCTTACCATTTACCCCGAAAAACCGGGAATTCCCGTTGGAAAATAAATGGTAAGTGTCGTGGAATGGAAAGTTCCGAAAAACTCGGTCTTGCGATTGAGGTAATCCCCTTTTCCCGCTCTTTTCGGTTCTTTCGGTAGACGCGCGTACCATTTTTTGAAAGTCAAAGTTTCCCGCTCTTTTCGGTTCTTTCGGTAGACGCGTGTACCATTTTTAGAAAGTCAAAGTTTCCCGCTCTTTTCGGTTCTTTCGGTAGACGCGTGTACCATTTTTAGAAAGTCAAAGTTTCCCGCTCTTTTCTTGCCATTAGCGAATACAATTCCAACCGGACGATTGGTAAGCATCCCAGTATTTTGGTTGTGGCTACGTATAGAAACCACAGGCGCCTCTTCATATTTTTGATTACTCTATAGATTGATGGTATTCTATGCCGTCGATATATATTGAGAGTATTCAAGCGGTGAGCGCCAAAAACTATTTTCTTGAAGAAAGGCTGTTGTACAAGTCTAAAGTCTTGTTATTCAGAAAGTTTGACTTGTTTGGAAGTTGAGATGACCGATGAAAGTGGAATCAAAGTGTTAACCCAAAGCAAAACTTTTATTCGAAAATGAGGTTTAGGCCTTCATTTGCTTATTTCCCATACATTTTCTATAAAAAAGCCTGACAAAGCTACATTCTAACACAAATGCAACAAAACATCTTTGTACAATTGAAAATGGCGCATCAAACAGGCATTTTATCATAGTACATCAGTTTCTAACTGTTTAAAAAAGTTATGCATACATAGGACATTATAGGAAAATTATATAAACAAAACAAAAGCGCGCGCGAAAAAAACTCCTAGTGCATTTTTATGGGGTTTTTCGTATTTCGAAGGACAGTAACTTGACCTCGAATACGAATAAATTAAAGTCCATTTTATTTTCTGTGGTTAAAACAGGTCTGAACACATTGCGGACAGCACGCCACATTATGAACGTGACAACGGCCTTTACGCAGACTTACCACTTGAAGTTAATGGCACACACAGGAAGACCGCAACCAAACATGTCAACAACCTGTTGAATGGATAACAGACGGTATATAGCATAACAGCGCTATGATACTAACCTCACTAATTATAAATTTACTTGTGGGAAACATCTGTTTAAAGGTCAAACGTTATTCATAAACGAACGTTTATTCTATTCATGCACACAATGTCTTATACTTAATCCACCACGACACCAACCGATCATTTTGATAAGCAATAAAAATCGATATCAATCAATAAAAATCGTTGTTAATCGATTGATCAACATATTATTTAATCGATAATTGATTAATATTGATTAATCGATTTTTAATCGATATCAATTGGTTGATCAAACAATATAAAAGTCGATAACTCATTGAGCTGTGACTATCGATTAAATCGATTTTATTGACAGACTTAACCGATTTTATCGGAAGCAATTTTTTTGATAATGGTATTCGTATCAACTTGTCGTATTTGAGCTTCGTGTCGAGCAAATTTGCTCTGCAACCAAACTTTTCATTAAGAATTGGAACTCTCGCTACGCGGTCGTACAATTTTATAATCACTCGTTTTATTTCAGGCAAAATGGCGAGGCACTCCACTCAGTTTTATTACCATCATATATCGATTGGTTTTCGATGGTCGATCGATTGTCATCGATTGTAGGTCGGTGTAGTCTGTCGTCTGATTGATTTTATAGCGGTACAACGTTTAAAAAGCTTCAATGGGAGCATTCATTTTATTTAGGAGAGGGGGGCGTGGGCAATTGGGGAAGGGCCTGACGAATCCACATCGACTATCATAGTAAAAATAAATAAACCTCCCTCTCTTCAAATGAGTTAAATACCGTGACCCTACCCATTGTTTGTCAGTCTTCTTTGGTAAAAGAAATTTGGATTGAATGAAAATACTGATGACCTTTCCTTTTTGACTGTGTAAAAACTCGATGGCCCTGCACTTAATTCCTCCCC